TTTATTGCCATGTTAATTATCTAACTAAGTAACTACTACTACCATGCTGGACAAGTACTTCATGTAAGCCAATGATTATTATGTTTATGGGCTATAACTACATTTTTAACTCTATAAAGCTGGACATGTGGAAACTAGAAAAGAAAATCTCACTAATTAAAGCAAAGATTCCCTTAATTAACTAACTACAAAGCACCACTGAAGTTTAATCAGACTCTAGCAGAATAATACAATACTCTTCCCTAATCAAACACAAAAATAAAATAAGATAAAGGGGATCAAGGGGAATGAAAGTCAATGTTTCACTTTTTTTTTTGGCTTACCACAGGAGAACTGACTGCATTTACAGTAGTTATTCTAATAATGCTCATTATTAACAGTGTACATATCAGCATGCTTCAAAGATAAGATGCCACTGTACAAATGAACAGGAAATTAACATGTTAAAGAATCAGGTGTAGAAAAACAAAAGAATCCAATCAACTAAACTCTGTTTGCATTAACTCAACTAGATAATACACAAAGCTGCATATTTGTGGAAGCCAACTTGACTTTCATAGTTTAATTCATATGGTAATTATTTCATAGATTTATTATTAGACTCTTATGCCCACTGATATGCCATTTTTGGTATGCCTTCACTACAGGTATTATAATGGAGTTCCCATATCACATGCTATCCAGTCCTATATATTTAACTAAACATGAATATCACTGCCCTGAAAGTATTATATGCAAGGCAGCAATATTCTGCTACTAGTCTTTTCCCCTGACAAGGAGCTTTACAGGCTCAAGACTGAAATTGTCTTGAGCAATAAAGATTTAAGGCCTGGTTTTCAACTGGTATGAACTAGTATGGCTCTTCTGAAGCCAGTGGAGTGAAGCTGGCAAACTGAAAATCTGGCCCTGAATATCCTATCTTATTAACACTCCAGGAACAGAATGACTAGCAGCGATGTGAGCTGACCAAAACTTGCTTCAGCCATGAACTGGAAAGACCATCCCAAAAGAGTTTGCCTATTAAATCTTGTACTATTGTGATGGTGGATAGGATACGTGGATGTCCTGTCCATTAGAAATTGGCATATCACACAAAATTCATTGAATATACTTACAGATAAATCCTCAGGTGATGAGAGCTTTCAGGCATTAGTGTCCTGGGCCAAATTCAAAATAAAAATCTAAACATTCGAAGATTCATAGATGTTAGGGGTTGGAAGGGATCTTACTCTAAAGACCTGAATATTTAAGGACCTGAAGAAGGGTGCTTCGTGCCCAAAAGTTGCCTAACGTCTCTCACAACTATAGTTGGTCCAATAAAAGATATCACACACAAATAACACCCCCACTTCTCTTTACGGTTATGTTTTATTATTATTTTTGTTACATAGTAACAGGAGGCAACAGAACATAAGCAGCTGCTGGATAGTTTTGTTAGTAGCTTAAGGCAGTGGTCTCCAAACTTTTTTGATCGTGCACCTGTATCAGTAAAAAAATTTTTGAGCACGCACCCCCAATATAT